AGAAGCAGGCTTCCTGACGAGCAGCGAGCCCGACGTGGGGCTCGATCCCAGGACCCTGGGATCATGACCTGAGCCGAAGGCAGACGCTCAACCGACTGAGCCACCCAGGTGCCCCAAAAACTGTGATATAAATTTCAATAAAATACTATTCAGTAGTAGAAATAAATGACTTAAAAGGCAAGCAACATGTTAAGTCCCAGGAATATAAAGGTGAGGAGGAAATCTAAGTTGCAGAAGAAGGCCACAGTGTGATTAATTTTTTTTAAGTTTTATTTTTTATGTAAGTAATCTCTACACTCAGTGTAGGGCTCGAACTCATGAGCCTGAGAGAGAGAGTCACATGCTTTTTCAACTGAGCCAGCCAGGTGCCCCCAGGTGATTAATTTAAATCCAGTTTAAAAACTTGCAAAACAGTACACTAATTCAGGATATTAACATAGGCAGTGATATTGTAATGAAATAGTTAACTGGGTACTTCTATTATTTTTAAGATATCTAACATATTATACACATATATGATATTACATGCACATTTGTTTGTTTGACAAAGGAGTGCCACACAGCAAGAGTGGCCTTGGACACCCTCTATCCCATTCCAAGTAAAAGCCCAAGTCCTTACCAAAGCCTACAAAGTCCTACCTGATCTGACCCCCTCTCTCTTACCTTCTCATCTCCTGGCACTCTTCCTTCGGCCCACCGCACCAGACCCACTAGCCCCTTGCTGTTTTTTCAATATACCAAATCGGTTCCCTCCTTATGATTTCTGTGTTGTCTTTTTCCTCCTCTGGGACACTCTACCTGTAGTTACCCCTTAATTAACTGCCTCACTTCCTTTAAGACTTTGCTCAAATGTCACTTTCTCAGTAAGACCTACCCTGATCACCCCATTAAAAATTGCAACTCACACCCCTATGCACATACATTCCTAATCCCAGTGATTATGCCCTACTTTTGCACTGGTCAGTCCTCAATTCATTATGGTTGTTGAACAAATGAATGGAGGTCGAGAGGACTTGGAGACTAGGATCGGAATGGCACCAGAACTATAGGGCCAACCAGGTTCTCTAGTCTTAACCCCAAAGGACAAAACCCTCAGTTGGCTGAAGGACTTGCCATCCCAGGAAAATTCAAAGTCCAGTCTGGGGTGATTGCTTCAGTCTCTGTGTGGTTGGCCAAACCGTCTCATTTCGGCAGACTCTCACACCCTCCTGAGGCTACCAATGCTTTTACTGCAGTTTTTTTAAAAGATTTAACTTTTTTAGAACAGTTTTAGGTTTATAACAAAATTGAGACAGAGGTACAGAGATGTCCCATACACCTCCTGCCCTCACACATTCATGGCCTCCCCCATTAACAACATCACTCACCAGAGGTGTACATTTGTTACCAACAATGAACCTACATGCACACATCATAATCACCCAAAGTCCCTAGTATACCTTAGACTTTGCTTTTGGTGTTGTACATTCTATGGTTTTGGCCAAATAGTTAATGACATATCCCCATCACTATAGTTTCATAGAGAGTATTTTCATTGCCCCCAAAACCCTGTGTTCCATCTATTCATCCCTCCCCTCCCCATTCCCTGGCAACCACTAATCTTTTTATTTTTTTTTAAAGGTTTTATTTATTTATTTGACAGACAGAGACACAGCGAGAGAGGGAACACAAGCAGGGGGAGTGGGAGAGGGAGAAGCAGGCTTCCCGCGGAGCAGGGAGCCCGATGCGGGACCCAATCCCAGGACCCTGGGATCATGACCTGAGCCGAAGGCAAACGCCCAACCAACTGAGCCACCCAGGTGCCCCACCACTAATGTTTTTACTGTCTCCATGGTTTTGCCTTTTCCAGAATGTCATATAGTTGGAATTGTACAGGATGTAACTTCTTCACATTGGCTTTTTTTTTTCCCCCCACTTAGTAATAGACACTTCAGTTTCCTCCATGTCTTTTCATGCCTTGATAGCTCATTTCTTTTTAGCACGGAATAATATTCCATCAGGTGGGTAAAAATTAAAGGACTGATTTGCCCTGTACAGGTGATGGTGGTGGGGTGGGGGTGGTTAGTCGGAGAGGGATGGGAAGGGCATTCTTGACCCTATTCTGGAGGCTATAAGTTGTTACTCTGTCTTTAGAGTAATTTGGCAGTTTCACATTTAAAGACATGCTCTTTGATCCAGCATTTCTACTTCTAGCAATCTTTACTAGAGTCACACAAACTTGGTCACCTCTTGAGGGCTTCTTTCATCTCATGAGCCTAAATTCCCAGGAGTGAGTTTTTAATTTTGTCCAGGAAATTTATTCCAAGCGGACCAATCCCTCACTCTTTCTCTGGCTCCTTTTCTTCACCCTGTGCTTGATGAGCTCCTGTTCATCCTTCATGTATTCAAATCAATGCTTCCTCTCCAAAGAGGGCCTCCTGACCCCCCATACTAAAGTAGGTCATCCTCTCCCTATTCTTATTTCTTCTTTAGAGCATAATTGACATTTTTATGTTTGCATGTTTATCTGTGGGACTATTTATTTTGGGTCTGCCCTCCCCACAGGAGCAAGGTCTGTGACTGCTCTGTCCCCCAGTATGTCCCCAGGGTCTGAACTGGCCTGACTCATTGAAGTACTCAATTGGGTACTGCCTGTCCTTGTCCTGAAACCTGATCTGGGCTCACCTCCAGGCTTGCTTTGAAGTAAATATGCCAGGGAACTCACCCAGAGGCTTGCCCAGAGTCCATTATATGCAGGGAGCGAAGTCTGGGAGCCTGTTATCCCCTTTCTGGGAGCTTTCTGGGAACTGGGAGGTCCAGCCAGAATGGATGAATCACACAGCAAAGACCATTAATTGTGGCCATCAATACAATCTGTGACTGGAGCAGGGGCAAATGAAACTTGTGTGATGCCACTATCAGGCTAAGCCTTCCTGGACCCCACAAGGGATCAGTGTCTCCCTATTCTTGGCCTCTGGCACCATGAACCTCTTGCTTGATCCTCTTTGCCTGAACATACCACATTGTCCAGCACCATTCCTAGGCTGACTCCTCCACTTGACACTGCAGTCGTCCAGGCAGACCAGCAGGCTACTTTTATCCCCAGTGGCCAGCACAGGGACGGCAGGCAGAGAAAAAAGGAGTCAACAGCAGGGGCCCCAATGCCCTAGCCTACCGCATACCATACCCTTTAACATCCCGGTCCTTGAGATGTTTGCAGCCAAATGCCAGCCAAATGCCAGGATGGCTCGCTCCCTCACACCTCGAGATCCCTGTCATTACTGCGGGAAGTGATCTGGCTTTCCAAGCCTGTAGTGGGATCCTTTACTTCATTCCCAGTTCAGTTAGAACTGTAAGCACTGAAGTCAGAGATGTGAGTTTGAGGTCTATCTCATACATGAAGCTATGTGACCTGAGCCTTTCTAAGTTGCAGAGTCTGCATTGATAAATTCAGGGGTTTTTTTTATTAAAGATTTTATCTGGGGTGCCTGGGTGGCTCAGTCAGTTAAGCAGCTGCCTTCAGCTCAGGTCATGACCCCAGAATCCTGGGATCAAGCCCCGCATCGGGCTCTCTGTTCAGCGGGGAGCCTGCTTCTCCCCTGCCTGCTGCTCCCCCTGCTTGTGCTCTCTCTCTGTGTGTCAAATAAATAAATGAAAAATCTTTTATTTATTTGAGAGAGAGCTTGAGCAGGACCAGGGGAAGGAGCAGAGGGAGAGGGTGAGCTCCTGCTTTGCAGCAAGGATGGGGGCCCACAATCGAGGTCCCACCAATCCAAGGCCACACTTGGGCTGAGAAAAAGCAGCTACCAACCTCCAGAATATCCCTTCCAGCAACTGATGGCCAGAGAGAGGCAGCCCACTCATTTCCAGAGGTAATGGGCACAGTCATGCTGACAACTGTCAGTCCCGGCACCAACTCCATGCCCCAAAGTTTGTGTGTGCTCAATTCTGTGTCCCTCTTCTTCCCCCAGGTTCTGAGAGCTCCCCCCACCCTTCTTCCTTTCTCCCTCTACCTTTCCCCCTCATTGCCTCCCTCCAGGCTTATACGGGAGGTTCTCTAAGGTTCTGCAGTCTGGGCCCAGATACCTCATCACCACCTGTATCCTGCAGCTGCAGCCCCAGCCATGGTCGCTTGCTCTTCCCTCGTGCAAACAGATGGGAAAAATCTGACCTTCCCTCATGACGGAGACAGGTCTCTTGCCAGCCTGATTCACCCTCTCCTTGCAACTGTAGCCTCAGAGCAAAACCCCCCTCCTCCCTTCGTCCTATCTTGTGACCTTGGACAAGCCCCTTCAGTTTTGCATTTTGCTTGTCAAACTATACAGACTGTAAAGTCCAGTATCACAAGATGATTATGTCTATTTCTGTAGGTAGGATCGTTACTGTCAAGACAAATCAAACGTTCACCCCAATAAGTTGGGCAGGTGATGCGCGTATGTGGGCTCCCAGCAGATGGGGCAGAGAGGCTACAGGGAGACCACAAGAGAAGAGGCATCTTGTCTGATTTCTTTCTGAAAGAAACGAGTGAATATAAACGCCAACATCTCCGATAGAGTGTGGTGGTGGGACACGGGGGGGGGGGGGGGGGGGACGAAGTCGGGAATGCGTGTGTGTGTGTGTGTGTGTGTGCGCGCGCGCGCGCGGGTGTTGGCGGGGGGTGGGGGTGGCATACAGACTTCAGGGGCCAGCTCACCACAGTGCCTCTTCTCTGCTCCCAGGCAGGGCTGGGACCCCCTCCTCAGCTGCTGGATAATGCATCCAAAAGGAAAAGAGACCGAGGAAGAAAGGGCTCGAGGAGCAGCCAAGTGGTCTGAAATTACTCCCTGTGCCCAGAGGAAGTGTGGACACAGCTTTGCTTTCGATGAAGTGTGCGCCTGATGGGAACCCAGCTGCTAAGGAGGACTCAAAAGAAAATTCAGAAGCAAGAAGAAACATGGAGCTTTGGGGACTCAGTCCATTCATACTACAGAGGAGGACTCCCAAACTCCTGGCTCCTCCAATAGCGGCCTGCGCACCGTGTGCCTGGCTCCCTCCCCAGCGCCACAACTGGGGGCCTCCGCTAAGGTTAGGGGTGTGCCGCAGTGGATGACGCCCAGCTGAAGCTGCTAGGGCCGCGCGGCAGCACCAGGTCCAGGGCGAGGTCGCGCTGCTCGCTCTCGGAGGCGACGGGCCGGTAGCCCAGCAGCTGCAGCGCGCCAGCACACAGCTCCTGCACGCGGCGGATCTTGGCGAAGGGCAGTGCGTGGCGCCAGGCCTGGGAGACACTGACCGCGTCCCTGGACGAGGTCTTGAAGGCCTCGCGGCGCGCGCCGGGCCCCGCCCCGTGCGTGATGTTGTGGATCCAGGCCTCGAGCTGCGGCGTGAGGCTCAGGCCCGCGAAGGCGTAGAGCGCGCGGATCTCCGGCAGCGGCGCCCGCGCCAGATCCTCGAAACGCACCAGGCGGTACCGGCCTTGCAGGAAGGGCGGCGGCTTCTGCGTGGCGGCCTCCGCGATGCGCACGTGGCTGCGGCACACCTCGCGCACCACGCGCAGGCCGGGGTCGGCCTCCACCCACGTGCCATTGGTGCCCAGTACGATCCCGTTGTCGCGCGCCAGCGCCTTGGCCGTCTGCTCGCGCGAGCGCAGCACGGCCCGCGGGTCGCGCACCAGATGGACGATGTGCAGGTTGAGCGCGGGGTCGTTGAGCAGCTGGTAGAGCACCTGCAGGTTGAAGAAGCGCACCTCCTTGAGCACCACGTGGCTGTAGGCGCGGCAGGCCTCCTGGGCCAGGCTAAAGGGCTGCCGCGCGCACAGCGGCTTGCACACCGCCTCGCTGCTGATGGCGCCGCGCGGGAAGGCGCTGCAGGCGGGCGGCGAGCACAGCGCGCGGCTCACCGCGTACTGGAAGAGGTCCGACAGGTTGCGGCGCCAGGGCAGGTAGGCGTCGAACACGTCCAGGTCGCACAGGAAGACGGAGCGCACCACGTCGCGCACGGCCATGTGCAGCGCCGGCGCGCTCCCCTGCGACAGGGTGGTCCACACGTGCCACCCGGGCTCCATCAGGTAGAAGACGTCGGGGTGCTGGCTGAAGAGCTGGCCCACGAAGGACGAGCCCGAGCGCCACGAGGACAGCACCAGCACGTGCACCCGCTCTTTGCCGACCGCTGGGGATGGCGGCCTGGGCCAGGAGACCAGGAAAAGCAGGATGCCAGTCTGCGCCAGCAGGAGCACGGTCACCGCCGTGCTGGAGATGCGCGGCAGCCACATGCCTCCGGCTGGGGGCCTGCGGGAGGAGAGCACAGTCGTTAGGGACCGCGGACCCCCTCGCCCTGCCACACCCCAACGCCCGCCCGGTGCTTGCAGGGAGCAGCCCCCCACCCCGACCCCGGACTCGACCACCCGACTTGTGGGGGCCTCCCCGGACTACGGCCGTCTCATTGGGCACTCTCCCGGGAATATGACTTTAAGCCATCAGCCAAGATCTAGTCTACGCAGAGCAAAAGGCCAGCTGCAGAACGCTGTGGGAAATGCATGTTCGTCCTTACCGCCTCCCTCTCTCTTCCCCTCCCCCATCTTTCTCTCTTTTTTTTTTTCTGGAGAGGGAAATATTATTTTTAAAACAGAATTCCCACCTTTTGTTTCAGAATTCCTTTCAGGGAGACAAGCTTAGGTTGTTTAGCTCAACAGCTTGGTGGGTGATTTGACTCCCTCACCAGGCCCAGCCGCTGCCTAGCCTGTGATCCTGGACCAAACGATTAATCTGTCTGTAACTCAGTTTACCCATCTGTAAAAAGGGGATTAATATTGCTACTGGAGTAATGGAATGAGCCTGGGGGGCGGGGCATAGCCTAACTTCGGTAACTGATAACTTGCCCTTGTGCTTCTGTTGTCTGACTTCTTTTAAACAAGCAGATTCAGCTTTCATTATTAAAAAGTAAATAAATAACATAGACAAAGCACACCAAATGTTGCTATCTACAGGAAGTAAAGTGCTACAGGATGCATGAACTGCAGAGGGAGGGTACCCTTCTGGAGCTGTGGGAACGTGCAGAAGCAGTATAGGGAGAGGTGACGGCAGTCAGGCTCCGGGCCACCGTTTGCCCTTTTCCATGCTGAGGTTACTCAGTGTAGCCCAGGGCTGCTGGGAGAGCTGCCCACCTCAATCACAATCCATGGAAGATGCCTGCAGGTTTTTCAGGGCCTGAGAGAGCAGGAGGGAGGCTGGGTCAGAGCCTCACCAGAGAAGATAGCCTGACAGTGGGAGGGCTTTGCATTCCCAGACGGACAGAGAGTTCCCTGCAGGTGGGAACAGAGCCGCCCAGCCCCTGAGCACATTTTTCCAAGTGGGTGTGAACTGATGGTGTCCCCTGCTGGGTGGAGAATGGACTGCCATGAGCCCTCTGATGCCACTTAGGAGCTCTGAAACCTGGGGCAAATGACTTGACATCTCCAAGGCTCAGTTTCCTCTTCTGTAAAATTTGGATGGTAACATTTAGCCTCTTGGGCTTGTCACGAAGAAGCTGCTACCAACACAGATGAGGGAGGGCTTGCTAGTGCCATACATCCACCCCGTGCTCCTGCTGGGGGGTGCTGTGCTGGGAGAGGAGGCACCAGGGAAGGTGTCCACCCGATGAGACACCCTGAGGTCACCTACATCTGCAATCCCAGCATCTCCTGAGTCCACCCCCGGGTCCTTTAATAGATCTTAAGGATATCACACTTGTCCGGCAGACTGAAGGGGACACTGAGCCAAGCTCACGCACCCCGAGGTCCCAGAGTTTTTCCCTCCTTGCACCTGTTGCTTGCTCTTGCCACAATCTCAAGGAAGAGCTGCTTTGGAAGGTAGGGGCCTGAAAGTTTCCTCCTTGCTTTCATGGCCTTTGCTCCGCTTGAAGACCCTCCCCTGCTCGTGTCACCAACAGGAGAAGCCAGGTCGAAATCGTGAGCAGATCCCACTTATCCGGAGGCTGCCAGAGTGGGTGGAGGACAGGGAAAGTGGCACCCCCCAACCCAGGACTTCCGTCTCTTAAGTTCCTGGCACATTCCCATTACAATCAGCTGGCCTCTCCCATTCCTGGGAAATCCCTGCAGAGCACTCAACCCTGGTCTTTGGCCCAAACACAGCTGCCATGGCCAGCCCAGCCCTTTCCTGGCTAGGGAGGATCTTGACTGTAGGCCACCGATGTGTTGCTACCTGCCCTCCTGGGAAACCAGAGGTTTTCTTAGGTGACTTACACAATAGGGAACTGACATCTGATCCTATTACTGGAACTCGAGAACGAGTGCGGATCATTCCTATAAGAGCTGAAGCACACAGTGCGCTAGGAGCACATTTCCTTTGTTGTATAACCCTTTGTTTTCCCTGGAGTTAAATTGCCCTACAGATTAAACTGTAGGGTTGAAAGATAAAATTGAAAAAGTAGAGAAGATAGAACAAAAAGATCAGTGATGGATAAAAGACGGAAAACAGACAAAAGAAATCAAGAGGATCAATCCAGGAGGTCAAACAGTGAACGTCCAACGCCGATATCCCAGCAGGGCTCAGAATCTAGCTAGGAACCTCAAAGACCCACCCATGAAGTGGCCAAGGGAGCAGATGGTGGTCTAAGTGAGGGGCCCAACTATCCAGGGCCAGGAGGGTCATGCTAGTCCTGGCGTGCATATTTCTCCTGGATTCTGGAAAAATCCCCCAGCCAGTCTCCCTGCATTTCATACTGCATAGAGCCACCAGAGCTGCCTACGCTATATTTAATCCTGTCATTCTCCTACTCAGCAACCTTCCGCTTTCCAACCTCACTTCCCATAATTCCCCCCAGGGCCCTTTGTGTCAGATCATCTGGAATCATTACTCCATGTTCTCCTCTGCTCTGCTGTAAGTGTCCAGCCCTGACTCCCCCCAGGAGTCATCTCAGCTTCCTCCTAAGACACCTCACTTGTGCCTCTTTCAAGGCATGTATCACTCTGCCCTGAGTGACACTTTGCCTCCCCTTCTTGCCTGTGAGCAACCTGAGGGTCAAGACTGTGGCAGTTTTGCAAATGAATGTGTCTGTTCCCAGGCACCCGCTGTGGGGCTCAGTCCTGCAACAGGTTGTTGCACTAGACAGGGTTTGCTTGGGTCCACTCGGTTCTT